TAATTGAATTTAAAATATAACTAATTTAACCGTCACGCTCATTTTCAAGTTTTTTTTTGTTTTGATTTCCTGCTTATTGTTCGTCATGGTTATTCATTAGTTCATTGATTATCTCACCTTTTTCATATTCAGTTAATTATCTTGTATATATATGTATATCGCTGTCTGTTCTCTTTCTGTTTTCTTTTCGTCTAGTGTTAGTTGTGTTTTGTACACACACCGTTCCGTTTGTTTGCGTGTTGGATATCTTTTTGTTCTTTATGAAAAGACACGATCCAGGACGCCATTAAAATAAAGCATCCACTTGTTTTTGACGGTGGGATCTGAAGTCTGTAAACGAGATGTTTAAAATGGTCCAAAAAAGTCGAAGGCAACTTTTTCACGCTTCCATTTATCCTGTCGACAGACCGGGGTGTGTGGAGTATGTCAGAAACTGAAAGTGTAGACAGTGTAGACAGCGTCAGTGATTATAATGGGTTCTATTTGCTTTTGAGGGGACACTCACATTCATTATAGGCAAATGTCAGCCGTTAAGTGACTACCAGTAGGCGGGGCTATGGTGCAATGATGCATAACTATTTGTCAATGCCTTATGCAAATATGCAAATCCATTTGCCCATGTGATGTCACAGGTCATCCTGACTAAATAAAAGCTTTGTTTATAATGAGGAGCACATTTTAAGCTATGCGACTTGATGGATGTTTTAATGGTACAAAGACCTTTTTTATATCCAAAAAATAAAGGCAAGGTTTGTTTTCTCATGTTTAAAATATGAGCACATCACACTCACCGAGCAGGAAGAGTTTCGGCACACTTTGGGTATGTACTAGAAATACAAATCTGGTTATCCACTTGAGTGGTAGTTATTCTTGTTAAAGGGAATACTAAATCCTAACAGTCTCACTGCTTGCTCCATATGGTCGCAGCCGAAAAAAAGAGATAACTCTAGTCTTGAAGATTTGTTTTGTTTGGTAAACATGTGGCCCCTTTGGGCCGACTGAAAGGGAGTGTGATCCACTGTGTGTGTTATTATCCACATCTCCATGCATGCCACTGCCATCTGCTCCTGCTCTGGTTGGTTCCTGCTGTTTTATTCTGTTCTGTGTTTAACGGAGAAAATATTAGCTTAAGTTGAAGAAAGACAGGACCCTCCAAGTGGAAGATCCGAGCGTGTTCACCCTCATTATTAAAAACAAGAGGACACAAATGGTGTAGAATAGGGATGCACCGATCCACATTTTTTCACTTCCGATCCGATCCCGATACCTGACTTTGGATATCGGCCGATACTTTTCCGATACCAGAGCTGTGTTTGCTTTAATAGTATTTATCATTATTGTTGATTTTATATGATGCTGAAATAAACTCCTCTCTACAGGCAAGGATGATATGTACATATGTATGTATGTCAATATATATATAAATATATCTATATATATATATATATATATATATTAAACAATAGATAGACAATTAAACAAAGATACACATTATACAGGCCTACACAGTGCTTTAATTTCAGGAAGGTCTACAAACATTGTTCAGGTATGGTCTTAAAAAGAATTATAATAAAGTAATCAAAAGTAAAATAGCACTGCAAAGTTTATCATAGATAGATTTATGCTTATTAAAGCTGAAGTAATTCATTCAAGAGCTGTGAGTGATTTTCTCTTTGCCTTTGGTTGTTTGATTCTCAGTAATCGCAATCGTCACATTTATACTGCTGCCCCTTTAAGAACGAGTTCAGATTTCATAGTCTACTGATGCACCATATTTTCTCCCAAATATTTCCATAACTACGTTCATTTTAGACATAATAAATTGTTTAAGTGTTAATCTCCAAGTCGGTCGGTTTGACATTTTTGTGCAGGCTACATTTGATCGTTTAGACGCGCATATGAAGCCCAGAGTATAATTTGCTTGTCTTGTTGCGGTCTGTTTCGGAGCGCGCCGCACTGGGAACAACATCTCTTGCGCAAATTTTGTGCTTTTAATAGCTCTTTTTATTATTAAAAGCGTGACGCAATTTAGTAACAGCAGAGACTGCATTTTACTACAATCATCGATCGTGCTGATTCTGTCTTAAAGTTTGAGTTTTAGGGAGAAATGACAGCGCACCGCCGCGATGGGAAGGAAGTTGGCTAGACAGAATGCGGCTATTGTTTTTAATGTTTTTTTTACCTCAATATATTCTTTAATATTTGGAAATCAGACTAATATCACAGATCTAAAGTGTAACCAGGCTACGTTTCCTCTGTCGTCACTCATTACGCCGGGCTGTCATGTTGTGCTTGCTGTTGCACCGCGTGAGAGATCTCTCTCTTTCTCTTCTGGACTGCGAATTGCAAACATGCATCAAATAGTTTAATTAATATGGCTTTGCAAACATTGCACTTTGCTGTCTTGCTCTGCACTGCAGCGGTGTTTCCAGTTCCACCATATGATTTCCACACAGCGAACATGTTATAGCTCAGTGCTATCCTGCTAGCTGGCTGCAAACTGCGGAATGGATTTCCTGAGCGGGGGTGTGTCTCATTGAGCCCTATGTTTTACAGTCACTGATTGAGCTGCACCTCCGTTCAGGATATCCATTCCACAGTTTGCAGCCAGCTATAGCAGACTAGCAGGCCCGGCGGGAATCACTTTTGGAGTCATTTCAGCAGACAACGTTAAAGCGCAGACATGGATCATAAATATCGGATTTCTCCGCAGGTTGGATCAGAAAAATCCGATACGTGAATAATGCTGGTATCGGTCCCGATACCGATACTGGATCGGATCGGCCCCATCCCTAGTGTAGAAGTGGGATTATCCATGGCATGGTGAAATTTATTGAGCCTTTTAAGTAAAACTCTTTGGTTAAGTTTCTCTCATTGTACTTTTTATAATTTTTAGGTAAATTAGTTGGTAGTTACAAGTGGTGGTGGAGGGTTGGGTGTCAGATTTTTTAAGCCAGGCACACCAAGGCAACGGTTTCTGAGTGTCAGTTGGCTTAATATTTTCTGCACCGTTGGCTCTGGTCGGACGCCGTCAGGGTTTTTTTGTGCCGATTTAGCATTTAACTTTTACGAGAGGCGAACAGTCCACTTTCATCACCGCTAGTTCTTTGACATCAGCTTGGTGTGTCCTGTGCTTTAAAAGTTTTAAGGGACAGTTTGAAAGTTTGAGAACCACTGGTGTAAAGGAATCTGTTGAGACACTTAAAGAGGTGGTTTACTGCTTTTTTTCTTAGCATGATTGTGTTTATGGGGTGCAATTTAACGTGTATTCAGGGTTTTCTCTTTTCTTAAAAAGTGTTATTTTTCATCAATTTCACCTTTATTGTAAGCCGCTTTCTAATCTGTCATTTGAATGACCGGTTTACATCCTGATTCTATGAAACCACTCCCTCAGAAACAGCCAATGGGCTCAGAAGTTACATGTGTTCATGTCAAATGTAAAAAAGAAAAAATCAAATATATATATATGTATATAAGCAAATTACCAATAAGAAATGTTTTGTAAGAGTATAAAGTAACTTTATATATTAAAAAATTAACGTTTAAAAAAGTTAAAAATTTAAATATTAAAAAGTTAACGTTTGTCTTACACAAAATAGCATCGAACTAACTGGCTACTATATACACAAACAGCATTGGCATTGGTTTACGTTCTTGATCAAATTGAAAAATAACGTCATAAAGTATATATACATGAAAAATACATTTACAAAACTAGTACATACAAATTCAGGTCCAAAACGTTTGAACACGTTCGTCGTAGACACGAAATGGCATAATTAAATGGCTATAAAGCCAGCGCTGGCATTTGATAAAACTAAAACATTACGTCTGAAATACATTTACTCACAGGTTGTGGCCCAACAACTGCTGGTTGTCTTTGATTTTAAAGTTGGAACTGCTTCATGTTTTAGTAACAGTTTCTTGTTGAATCCAGCATTGAAATTGTGGAGATTCTGGAAGCTGTCTTTCGTAAATGCGCAGCACCGAGAACTAAATTATGATTGTAATTTTCAGGAACATAATCAAACATAAATTGTATCAATTGTTGACGAACTACAACGTCTGTGGGAAGCCCAAACACAGAAGACCTGACAGCTGAGTGAACATCAACGAGCTGCAGAAATATGGCCATATGTCGTTTTTTGCATTTTTTTTTCAGGGAGGGTTGATGTAAATGTATGGGTTATTTACGCATAAAACCCAATGTAATGTCGAGCCCTCCCTATATAGCAATGCCATCAGGAGATACACATACACCGGTAGGCAGTGGCCCACCTTACCTGGTGACCACGTCGTGGTCCACCAGAATTTATATTTTCCCCACCTCTTTTTTTACCACTACACCTCTAAATAGAGTCATTTTTGTATATTAAACTTCCTGATTTTTAAAAGACGATATCTCTGCTTACATTGAACTTTCAGCGCTGCAACTTTGCAGATACTGTTCATGCACCAACAGCAACATTACACACTATTTAAAATGAAAAAAGTGAAATCGCAATCAACCACCCCTTTAATTGTGATTTATTATTTATTATTATGAGAGGGGACAGCCATTTGTTGTGGTGTCCAAAACCATAGTGGACCTTATTGTTAAATCCCACATCTCTTAAAAATAAAGTATTTTAGCATATTTGTATGTTAAACTCCACCCAAAATGAAAATTCTGTCACCATTTACTGAATCACAAGTTTCAACTTTCTTTTGCTGAACACAAAGGAAGATATTTTGAAGAACGATTGGAACTTTGGCACCATTGACTTCTATTGTATTTTTTTTTTCTACTATGGAAGTCAATGGTGCCAAACAACTGTTTAATTCAAATTATCTTCCTTAGCACTTATTGCAGAAATAATACACCTTGAATTATATCTGTTTTACTATATGTAATATTTTTGGATACTTAATTGCATGCTATTTACAATGAAAATTTATTATAATTAAATTATATATATTAAATCCAGTTAGCTGAACTTTAGAGTGCTTTTTTGACTTACCTAATGGCCAGTTGACACAGAATGAAAAATCTAGCAGGACTTTGGTTCTGATTTAGCTGTTGGTACTGGAACGGTGGGTCCATTAAAAGTCATTTAGTCATCAATATGCTTTTCCCATTTTATTGTGCTTCACATGTAGGAGTAGACATTTCTAGGTGGTAATTGTTGGTTCCTAAACCCATGAACAACATAGAAACTATTAATAGATTACACACATTTGCAAATCAAACCATACATGTCAAATCAACTTGTAACAAATCAAAATGTAGACCTATAACACCAAAGAGAAAATATACACAACCAGAATTCAATGTAACATATTAACACAATCCCTTTAACTAAACAAACCAAAAGAGAGGAACTTACATGTTCAACCACTCAACAATTCCACACAGAGCATGCATGAATGAAAGAATGGGGAGACGGTCTCTAACATACAAACAAGCTGAGACTGAAGCATAATTAGCTAGTGACAACAGGTGATCTCATCAAGACTCAATCAGCCAATCAGATCACAGCAGGATTTTCTACACAGAACGTGTTTTTCCATTCCACAGCGCTACTTTTCAATTGTTTTTCAACGTAAACAAGCGCTAGACGGATGTGTTTGACCAATGTCTCGCGTCAAACCAACACAGGCACATTGGAAATATCCTCATAGGTGCAAATCTCCAAAAACGTACAAATACTGTTGTAAAGTAATGTCTTTTTTTGTCACATTGAACCGCCGCAACATAATACAAATGGCCAGATTCACATAATCTATTTCGGATAAAACTGAACACGCTTTTAGTGTCACTCACTTTTGTCTTTGAAATTGTGGCCAAACGTGAAAGACGCAAGGTAATATAATTTTACAGAAATGTCACCACAGGCACACTTTATCAATGAGCCTGGGTTGAAATATGCATCACCTTTCATTCAAAGTATGAATCTCAAAAAAGGAAGAACCCCCAACCCCCCATACAGTACATTGCCTGTAAATATTTATACTTACATTAATCCAAATCCCAGTAAATGTGTATTAGTCCTGTGATTTCTGACCTTTCCCAGCGGCTGTGCCTCAGCGGTTTGAACAAAGAATAGATTTAGCCCCAGAATCACCATTCCGTGAAGACAAACACCAGGTCATTCGAATGCCCAAATGCATTTCTACAAGTTTGTTTTCCTAGCCACTGACAAAATGCTATATTTCCTCAACCCCAAAGGACATTCCCGTGTGGTTCTCAAAGCATAAACTGTGGCTGGATATTGTGAGATGATGATAATAGTCCAGTGTAAATCTGCATTTCAGATGTCATTGCTCTTTTGAGAGTCGCAGATAAGGATCTATCTCCTGCCATGTGCGAAGGAGTGGCAGTTTAAGTCTTTGGAGACCAGTTCCCTATCATTTAATTGCATCTAGTTCAGTGTTTGCGTGGTATGCTTTATCTTCCCACTGGAGCCTGTTCTTTTTGTTCTCATTTCCTCCGTGTGTTAAAGGGAGGGATGCAACTTTTTAATATCATATAGATCAGTGAGATCTTTGTAAAAAAATATACAAATCTAAAGGGAGACTACAGAAAAAGTAGATACCCAATATTAAATGTGAAGAATAACATCTATCCATCCATCCATCCACCGACCAACCTGTAGATCGATCGATCGATCGATCTATCTATCTATCTATCTATCTATCTATCTATCTATCTATCTATCTATCTATCTATCTATCTATCTATCTATCTATCTATCTATCTATCTATCTATCTATCTATCTATCTATCTATCTATCATCTATCTATCTATCTATCTATCTATCTATCTATCTATCTATCTATCTATCTATCTATCTATCCATCATGTTGCTTACACCAAATTCTGACCCAGCCATGTGAATGTTGCAGCATAAATCGAGACTCATCAGACCAGGCAAGTTTTTCCAGTCTTCTAATGTCCAATTTTGGTGAGCCTGTGTGAATTGTAGCCTCAGTTTCCTGTTCTTATCTGACAGGACTGGCACTGGTGTGTTCTTCTGCAAGGTTTGATGTGTTGTGCGTTCAGAGATGCTCTTTTGTACGTTTTTTTTTATATTATTTTTATATTTACAGGTATTACTTTCCTGTGTATATTGAACGGATGAGGGTTGGTGTGTGGGGAGATATTGTGTTTTGCGGTAGGTAGTATGCCATACGGAACCGTTGGCACTGGACCTACTTTCACGAAGACAGTGGGGCTCGACAGCTTTAGTCAAACGGGTTGGCGCATATGGTTGGGTTACTAGACTATTTATATAGAGACATGCCACTTCCTCAATCCTTACAGTAATACAACTATAGGGAAAACCTGTAACACCAAAGATGGCGGTTGTACGCACATGCCCCGCCCCTCCCGCTGGAAAGCCAATCATCTGCTTTTAACAGACAAGCCAGGAAACTAGAGGCCTGCATTTCAGCCCGAGCCCGACGGGCCCCGACTTATTTAGACTCCTCGGGCCGGGCTTCAGGCCAATTTTAACGTCATAGTTCACACGCGGGCCGGGCCTCGGGCCTGTTTTAGGCTTATCTTTTTTATAGCCTATTTTAGATATTACTTAAAATAAAATATGAGAAGATGACTATTGAAAAGCAAACATAGAAAGACGTTTTATAACCTATCATACTGACATATATGACTGACAGTCTGCTCACGGCACGCACACGCGCACACAGGTTTCCCGGCAACGCGATCCGCACGACCGGCTCGTTCTCTGTTTAGTGTCCCGCCAGCAGGAGTAGCGAGCGTGACTTCAGCGCAGCTGGAAAAAGTACGACTGGATTAAAACTTTCCATGGTGGATGGTGCTTTTTCTGCACGATGCTCTGTAAGAGACTGTTTAGGAGGTTGTCTTGTTGTTTTTTGTTTGATTGGACTTTAGTTACATGAGTCTGTTGGAAACTTTTGGAAATACGAATGGCCATGTTCTGTAGTGAAGACTTGATTTTTGAGGTAAGATAACCTGCATGTTCGTTTTTAATGTAATTTATTGGATTTGTTTAGATTGCATTCTCTTTGTAATGTATTGTAAATTGTATTGTACGAGCGCTGAGCGAGCAGCAGAGCAGTTTGCCTCAGCTTTTCAAAAATGACAATAAACGTTTAACAAGCGTTTAAACTAACGTTAACTGTCTGTGTGAATATGTTTAAGTTGTTTTATATCTATGGATTTTATTGTAGCCAAGTAAAGTGTTGATTTGAGAGGCTATAAATGGATCAAACATGTTTAACTCGCTGTCGGGTGCTTGGTCGTCATAAAAAATAAATAAAAAGAAACATTTTTCTTAATTAACTTTATAAAGAAATGAAAATAATCTAAACGGTAACTACTTTGCCATTGAGGACAAAACATATCTGTTTAAATGACTGCTGCAACAGGGCAGGCTGTGTAAGGTGTTTTTTTTTTGTTTTTTTTTAAATAACGGGCTCGGGTCGGACTCGGCCTGATCATTCTGATGAGCTGTCGGACACGGGCCGGGCTAGGGCCTGGACGTCTCGGGCCAGGGCCGGGCTAGGGCCTAGATTTGAGGCCCGTGCAGGGCTCTACAGGAAACATTAAATTCTATCGTCTGGTTCCACCGACGCATGCGCGCAGTTGAGGTTTGCGACAGCTGAAAATCTGCTACTGTTTGAAAAGGCGGCAGATTTGATATGTGTTAGTTGTGTAAATATCAGACATCCCAAGTCTCCCGTAAGTTCCAGGAGATTGATAGTGGCTCCCTGATCCCGCAAATTAGTAAAAACCTCCCAGAATCTAGAGTGAGCGAGCAGTAGCGTGCGAATGACAGAGAGCAAGAGAACCCTTTTGTATGCGCACTAAAAGTATAACCTGTGGGGAAAAAGCCGTTTTTAAACCTTATTTTGGGGCAAAGTCATCAAACTTTTTCAGCGATTTTTATCATATTTTATTACTGTTTGTGTACAAGCAGTTTTTATGTCCCGGTGACGAGTGAAAGTGCGGTTCTGAGTTTCTGCCCATTCATTTAGATAGGAGCCTGGTCTTGTTAGTCCGAAATAGCTGCCTGGAGGCGTTGCCAAAATGGCGGCCGAGTGGCATGACTTGCCTAAAGGTCACATGTTGAGCCCTCTTGAGGTGTCGTGGACTAGTCGACAAAACACTGAGAATGGAGGGTGCCCACTTGAAGACCCTAGATGTCCCCTAATCGGCTCAATCCAGACGGTTGTCATGTTGGTCAACTAGGGAGACCACACTAGTTGCAGCCGTTGTGTCATGTGTGGTGACGGCCAAGTACACTTCAGCTGTTAACGCCAGACAGAAGGCGAGTCACATCACCATATGGAAAGAAGCGTAAATGGATAGAGAAGCATAGTTTACTGTAAAAGTACACCTTAGTTTGTGCTCATCTTGGCGAAAGCCGAGTACAAATCAGCATGAAGTTTTAACATGGAAATCATAAATCTTGAGAGGTTATTTGAGCTACTGTTGCCTTTCTATCAGTTTAAACCAGTCTGGCCATCCTCCTCTGACATCAGCAAGGCTTTTTCGCCCACAGAACTGCAACTCACTGGATATTTTCTCTTTTTCGAAACATTCTCTGTAAATTCTAGAGATGGTTGTGCCTGACAAAACTTATTAAATTAGCAGTTTCTGAAATACTCTACCAAAAACATGCCACATTTTTAAATCACCTTTCTTATTCAAACTCAAACTGGCTTTATGCCCAGCTGCACTACTTCCTGAACTTCAGCCAGCTCCTTGTTTCCTGTCTGCCATTATTGGCCAAATTGATTAATTCAGGTGTGTCTGATTATTGTTGCCATGACTACTGAGGTCAGGTACACCTGAATTAATTTGACCAATAATGGTAGACAGGAAACAAGGAGCTGGCTGAAGTTCAGGAAGTAGTGCAGCTGGGCATAAAGCCCACTGAACATCAGAAGGTCATCTTGACCACGTCTACACGTCTTAATGCAGCCATCCAAGTTATGATGTTTGATCTCTGTCTGATTATTTACACTTATCTCTCTTAAGATTTTTTATAGCTGGCTAGGTCTGCTATTGTGAGAGCTGCAGGGTTCTCATTGTTCCCTTTTAAT